GCACCACTCAGCCAGAAGCCGGGCTCAAGGCTGACAAGCTCAGTAGCCTCTCCTGCTTCCATGACAGTGCTACTGGCAGCAGCGGCAGCAGACATAGTGGGGCTGGGATGAGTGGCAGCAGAGCTGTGCCCGCCCTGGCTAGGGCTCCTCCCTGGCTGCCTGCCACTTGGCACTGCTACATCCCTTGGATTCATGCACCAGTGGGTCCCTTGGCCCGGCCTGAGGGGATCAGGCTGAAACTGGCTCTATGACATCCCCTGAGGGGTCCCGGATTGTGAGAGGATGCAGGCAAGGCTGAGAGACCCCACCCATGCACAAATATGTGCACTGGGCCTCTATTAATGTAAATAAACAATCATACAAGTTATTAATAACTAGCATGAAGAAGTATAAATACCCCTAAGGAACTTAAAAGAGGAAAACTAAATGAAAAGTCTCAATATGATAGACTCTACATTAACTGGAAAACAATTCACCAGAAGTATTAACCAAAGAGGTTTCCTTCCCACCAGAAGTATATGTCTCCATATTCAGAAAAAAAGCAAAAGAGAAATGAAAAAAATAAACAACCTAATATCTGTGATTTATTCAGAAAGGTCATTGTTTTGAGCTGAATTGCATCTTTCCAAATAGACTTGATTTTCCCATAAACTAAAATTGATTGAAATAATTTTGGTTTTGGTCTCTCCCACATTGTTTTCTTATGTCCTTGATGTTAGTCTCTAATTGCAGCATCTCTTTAACCTCAACTGACTGTAAACTTTCCAAGGTCAAGGGAGCCAACAGGCATGAGGCAGGGCTACTCAGAATACGACCTGCAGACCTAGGGCCATAGAATTCCCTGGATAGATGATGCTTCTTAAATATCCAGGTTTCCAGGCTCTAACGCAGATTATAAAATCAGGGTCATAAGAAACAGAGCTTAAGCACCTTTATAAAAAGCCAGCATTGCTAGATGATTCTTATTTTTGCACAATGAAGGTTGAGACCCACTGGTATGATGGTGAGGACTGGGTTTAAATAGATTCAGAATATCTCTGAGCCTCAGTTTCCTCATCAATAAGATGGAGCAAAGAACAACACATCTTTAGGTTGCAGTGATCATAGGAGACCACACAAGTGCGTTTCTTGTAGAATGCTTATTAGCTCCCAGCAATTCCTGAAGACATGGCAATTTAGTTATAATGAATATTAATCATCATTACTCTAAATTTGCATCCCCCATTTAAACCTGGCAGTTTTAGTGACACCAACAACTCTTCAGAAGTGTGTGTTGAATTATTCATCACTAAATGGCTCCACTGGGTGTAAGATGTCTTTTTTAGGTGTTTATAAGTCAGCTGCTAAACTGTGGTTCCATATGGGTGAGGAGCAGAAGAACAGACCAGATCAGTAACTTAAGGTCTGAAAAATGGCATGCCATTTAGCTCAACCACGCTAGGGGCTGAATTACTTTCAACTGTTTTCTACTGTGGCCAGCTGTCATTTATGGATAATTAGCACAGCCAAAGTTCCCAGATAATGACAATGTGGTGCCAAAGCATGGAGTACCATGCTCACAACCAACATTTCGAAAGGGCTTCCAAGTTCTTTATGACTCCAAAAAATAAACACATTGCCAATGACAAGGCACTCCCCTCTTCATGAGGTTCTGGGCAAAACTGCGGGTGTCTGTGTAGCTGTCACACCCCTGTTTAGACTCTTAAAAGAGATTATTCCTTCATGAATACAACAGAATAACATTAGCTAATTCTTCCTTTCTTGATTCTTCAGCCACTTCTTCTCAACAGATCTTTGAGAAGTTTTAATACATATATCCTACATAACATTTACCTTTTATGTATCTACTAGAGGCCCCAAGCACAAAATTTGTGCACTCTGGGGGGTGTCCCTCAGTCCAGCCTGCACCCTCTCGAAGCCCAGGAGCCCTCAGGAATGTCCCTGCAGGGAGTGGGCCTAAGCTGGCAGTTAGACATCCTTAGCGCTGCCACGGAGGCCGCTACTGCACTCGACAGCCATGAGCCTGGCTTCTGGCTGAGTGGTGTTCCCCCTGTGGGAGCTCATTGACTACCAGGGGGCATCATAGCGAACAGTTGTTCCACTGTTTGGTCAATTTGCATATTAGCCTTTATTATACAGGATTCTGGTCTGTTTTTAAAAGCAAGCATTTAAAAATTTTTTGAACAGTTGGTAGGTTTGGCAGTCCATTTTACCTTTTGCCTTGGTATATTAGTTATTTATTGCTACATGAAGAGTCAAAATATGTTACAGTAGCATTAAAAAGCATATAGTATTATTCAACACATACTTAAAGAGCACCTGCTATAAGTCAATCACTGTTCTAGGTCCTGGGGAAGTCTTCGTGAACAAAACAAAGAGCCCCGGCTCTGGTCAGTGTGGCTCAGTTGGTTGAGGATTGTCCCGTGCACCAGAACGTTGCTGGTTTGATTCTGGGCTAGGGCACATGCCCAGGTTGCAGGCTTGATCCCCAGTAGGGGTCATGCAGAAGGCAACTGATTGATGTTTCACTCTCACATCAATGTTTCTCTTCCTCTCCTATAAAATTCAATAAAAATTCAACATGAAGCAAAGAGCCCTGCCCTCATAGTTCTTCTAGGCTGGTGGAGGAAAATGAGAAGAAACAAACATATTCAAAGAGTAAATTACATAGTAAATACCAGGTGATAACCCCCAGAGAAAAGGAGGATGTACAGAGTGAGGGGAACCAGGAGTGTGGGAGGGTTTCCAGGGCACCCTTACTGAGAATATGATATTTGAGCCAATCCTTGTTGAGAGGAGGGAATGAGCCAGGAAGATTCCAAGAGATGAGCATCCCAGGCAGGGATAAGTAAACACAAGGGCAGCTTGGGGGAGTGGCTAAAGGCAAAGTTTGGCAGGCTAGATTGCCTAGGTTTGAATCCTCGTTCTGCCACTTTCTAGCCAAGCTGTTTTCCATCCCCATGTTTTGCCTTCCTAATCTATGAAATGGGAATGATGACAAGCCAGGGTTTGGCAAACTCCTGTCTGTGAGCCGAATTCTGCCTACTAATTGTTTTTATACATAAAGTTTTATTGCATCACAGCCACATTCATTTAGGCATTGACTGCTTTCATGCTACAACAGCAGAGTTGAAATTGGCAGAGACTTTTTGGCCTTCAAAGCTGAAAATATTTACTATCTTATCTTTTACTCCAAAAGTTTGCTGATCCTTAGACTAAACTAAAAGTAAAGGCACAACATTTATGATTTAGATTTGTCCTGTGATATCAACCTTTCCTTCTCTCCTAAGATTTTGTTTCTCTGGGCAGCATCCCAAAGAGCCTGAAGAAAAAAAAATCATAAAATATCGTAAAACTTGGGGATATTGGAAAAAATGTAAAAGCTTGAGTAAAATAAAAGTAGCTGGATTATTGACAAATCAAAGAAGTAGAAATGAACATTGTCAAACCCTGTGCTAACACCATCAAAAAACAATAACAAATATCACTCACATCTTATTTCCAGTGGAAGAATCTTGCCAGTGATTCACATGAGGGGATGTAACCACAGAGTGGAAGTCCCCAAAGGTAAGGACAACAGAACAAAAGCCCAATTTCACTTCTGTGTGTCCCTAGTGGAATTGTGGACTTATGTACCAGCCACCAATTTAATCCTCAGTGTTAAGCTTCACTTGAATGTTGGATGGGGAGGAGGTAAAGCAGCTTGCACAAATCCAAGGGGCACAGAAAATAGAAACACTTGCAAAAATTAGACACTTCTCAATGACAGACAAGCTGATGGTTTTGCTTGTCTTACTATCATTACAGTTAGTTCGCTGAAATCAGAATGAGAGCCCTCCAGAAACGGATTAGATCTGGAAGACACTGCTAACATTTATAGATGGCCCACTCTCTACTAGTTCCTGTTCTAAGCCCTTTATTTGTATTCACTCATTTAATTCTTACAAGGACTCTAAGGAATATGTTATAATTATTAGCCCCATATTTTAGGTGAGGAAACCTAGGTATAGGTCTTAAATAGCTTACTAAGATCACACACCTAGCCTGACTGATGTGGCTCCCTGGTTGAGCATCAACATATGAATCAGGAGGCCCCGATTCCATTCCCAATCAGGGCACATACCAGGGTTGCAGGTTTGATCTCCAGTGGGGGGCATGCAGGAGGCAGCCGATCCATGATTTTCTCTTATCATTGATGTTTTCCTCTCTCTCTCCCTCATCCTTTCCCTCTAAAATCTATAAAAATATTTTTTAAAAGATTACACACCTAATAAATGACAGAGTTGAGATTTGCAGGCTGCAGAATCTAGACCCATAGTCATTATTTGTATCTCATCACTTCTCATGATTGCTCAATACAAACCCCACCCTTTACAAAGGAGCAAAGCCAGGTCTAAAGAAGTTAGGTGACTCCTGCAGTAGCCAAGTGTGACCTGGGAAACAAGAGTCACGTTCTGCCTCTTTCTATCACCGAGTCTTTTCACCAGGAGACATAACCATAGAATTAGGTAAGCCAGACAATTCTACAAATCCAGAGGCTTAAGGTTGTCCTCTTTTGTAAAACAGATGGCACTAGATTTATCATTAGTCTTACCTGGCATGATATCTAAGTTGTTCTCTAAAGCCCACATTTATCAGAGCCACAGCAACTAAAATGTAAGTTCGGAGGGGAAGGTAAGCCGTCTTACCCTTTCAGACCTCAAACAGCCAGTGCGAATATTTTGCAAAAATCAGTCCAATTCTGCTATTCCATTTCAGCATGACATGCTCCTTCCTGCTCAAGTTTGCTCATTTCAAGCTGTTCCAACATTATCAATCAATCTAAAAGGAATGTTCTCATAAATCTGCATTGGCACACACAGCACTTAGCTGTCACACATCTCAGACAATGATCAATCTGCATGTCTTCAAAATCACAAGATAGATGTAGAAGAATCACAACATTTTATCACAATAATCTCTTGAAAAGAAGTACAAGTAGAGCTATTTACATCACTTACCCCTGGATTATATTCAGCTGCGTCGTTGCTGCCCTCTCCAATTGAACTGAACTAGACTTGGAGTAGGAACTTGAATCTGCTTAAAAATTTTTTTTGGTGAAAAATGCATCCTGAAATGGCAGATTATATCAAGCGTCTGAGAAATGGCTCAGCTGGCATAGCTGTGACTCCCACGATACCTTTTGTTGCCAGACACCTACTTTACTGTGAATCCTGGGACCCCACCAGGCAGTCTTGTCATCAGACCATTGAAACGTTCTTGTCCTTTCAGACAGAGGCAGGCTGTGTCACTGAGAGAGTGAGTGTGGCATGCGTGTGCACGCGCGGGTGTGTGTGTGTGTGTGTGTGTGTGTGTGTGTGTGTGTGTGTGAAATAGTGTGGAGGGGAGACAAGAAGGAAGAGAAATTGAAACAGGATTTCCTGCCTTTTATTTGAATAAGATTATTTACAAGAGATATTCTGGAGTTGGGAAAGGATTCCTCTATTTAAAAAAAAGTTCCCCTTTCCACGGGGATCTGCAAATGGTAATTGGATTGTTACTGTGCAAACTGTCCTTATAAGGAATCAACCAAAGAATGTTGGGAACCTCGGGTAAAACCCCTGAGAGCAGGACAGAGCACAGGGTGCGTTCTTTGTTAAGGACACATTCTTGATTCTTACATTTATTTTAAAACCTCTGTCTTCTTCATTTTTCTAACATGGGTAAAAAACATTACCAAAACAAAAAGCTTTCATTCTATTTTACACCGAAGCACAACACATGCTCTGAATTTTATGCTCTTTGTGGGGCAATAGCCCGTGAGGAGTTGTTCAGTTCCTGAGCAGAGGGTGTGGAGGTCAGAGTGGATGCAACTATGTGGCCATGTTTCAAAGAGTGCAGGTGGGGGTGGGGCTGGGGGTAAGGGTGGAAGGAGAGATCTCTGAAGAACAGAGAGAAAAGGAAAGGCTCCAAACACATCCTGATCACCAATGACCTTGATCTTCGTGAATTCCACATGGCACTGAACCAAAAACAACTCAGAAAGACAACTTTGTTTGCCAGTTGATCTGAAGTTATAGTTCGTGGTCTGAAGTGAAGTCCAGCAAAAGCATCACGGCAGGTATAATTGACAAACAGAGAAGTGATTTCATGGAAGATCTTACTGACTCAAAATGTAGGGACTCGGTGTTTTTTTAATAGGATTCTGCAAGGTTAATCACCGCTTGCTGTAAGCCACACACAGCTTCTCTTGCTGCTAGTATTTATTTAGCAAGAGGAAGGAATTTAAACAATAAAATACATCAGATGATTTTCTTTACTAGAATAATTGAACTTTAAGAAATTCAGATTACGCCCTAGGCAGTTTTGCTCAGTGGATAGAGCATCTGCCTGTGGACTGAAAAGTCTGGGGTTCAATTCTGGTCAGGGCACATGCCTAGGTGGTAGGCTCGATCCCCAGTAAGGGGTGTGCAGATCAATGATTCTGTCTCATCATTGATGTTACTATCTTTTTCTCCCTCTCCCTTCCTCTCTGAAATCAATAAAAATATATTTTAAAAAAAGAGAAAAAAGAGCCGAAACCAGTTTGGCTCAATGGATAGAGCATCGGCTTGGGGACTGAAAGGTCCTGGGTTCGATTCTGATCAAGGGCATGTACCTTGGTTGCAGGTATATCCCCAGTAGGGGTGTGTGCAAGAGGCAGCTGATCGATGATTCATCGATGTTTCTAACTCTCTAACTCTCTCTCTTCCTCTCTGTACAAAATCAATAAAATATATTAAAAACAAAACAAAAACAACAACAAAAACATGATACCTATTTACAAAAAAGAGAGAGAGAGAGAAAAGAAATTCAACTAAACATTTACCATTACAGCATATACCTCTACTGGATGTTGAAAATAGTCATGATTCCAGCAGATAGTGAATATGGTTTATGTGATATGGATACTCATTAATGGAATAAAGACCTCTTTTTCAGGTGACTTAATATAATATTTCACATAAAATTGATCAGTATGCAGTTCATTTGTCATTGTTAAGCAAACGATCTATTTTTATATGAATCGATGAAATTTACATGTAGTGTTCAATGAGTGCTTACTAAGTGTCAGACAGTGTCCTAAGGATTTTATGAACATTGATTCATTTAACCACTAAAACATTATTAAAAGTAGGTTCCACTATGATCCCCATCATTAGAGATGAGGAAACAGAAGCTTAGAAAGGTTAAGTAACTTGCTCAGATATTCACAGCTTGTAAGTAATGCAGCCATTGTCCCAACAACTATGAGGCTTAAAGATTAACTGGAAGACAGAGTCACAGCCCAAAGTGGGCACTAGTTGCAGCCATGTCATAAGGATCCAATGGGAAATACATATGGTGATTTAATAAGAATGATTACCTAATTAACACTGGCAAATCAATTATTTGTATTTTTCAGGTCAATTAATGTTTCATAAGAAGGTGACTATTTCTTTTTTCTTGTTTTTACATTCAATATTATTTTGTATTAGTTTCAGATATACAACAACAGAGTGGTTAGACAATCATATACTTTTTCAAAAATATTGTTATTGATTTCAGAGAGGGATGGAAAGGAAGAGATAGAAACATCAATGATGAGGGAATCATTGATCAGCTGCCTCCTGCACACCTTATGCATGGGATTGAGCCCACACCCTGGGCATGTGCCCTGACTGGGAATTGAACTGTGACCACCTGGTTCATAGGTCGACATACAACCACTGAACCATATCTGCCGGGTGACAATCAGTTACTTTACAAAGTATTTTCTCTGATATTTCCAGTACACCACCAGCACCATATACAGTTATTGCAATATTATTCACTATATTTCCATTCTATACTTAACACCCCAATGTGTATTTTGAAACTACAAATATTTACTCAATTATGAAGGTGACTATTTCTTTAAGTGAAGAATCTCAAATAACCTCGAGACAATATCTTACGAAATTTTTCCTACTTGATTTTATGAGTGGAATAAAGTCAGGCCTCACTTTTGTGTATCTTTGAGATTCTTTGGGGGAAAAAAACGCATTTAGTCCAGAAAAACAAAGGGCGAGGATAAAGAATCTCCTTTAAAATTCATATATCAACTTAAATAGAACCAATAGGAGGCCAAAAAGTCACCCAAATAGCCTTAGAAAGAACTATTAGGAGGCAATTAGAAGGGCCAATCTGCAGAAGAATTTTGATAACCAGAAAAAAATGCCAACAACACAGCAGTCATCTTTTACCTATTTAACTCATCAGCCAAGGATATCAAGCAACAATTTCCAATCTCAGAATCTACAACCTTAGCCATTCACTGTACCTTTTTCTTGATTCCTAGTCTGCATCATTTCTGTTTTTGTCACTGGACACAGCTGTCCCATCAATCATGACAATGTGAGTAAGAAATAAACTTGTATGGTGAGATTTGGGAATGGATGTGCTATAGCAGCTGACCTCCCCTTCTTTAATGTCCTCTGTACACACAGATTACAAATCAAAACAGTCTGAACCTGGAGTCCCAGCCCCTAGGACCTCTCCTGTACTTCTCCCCAAGGAACCAGACAGCAGCTCATTCCTTCCCTTTCCACATCTTCACATGAAAAGAGAATACCTGATCCACTGGATGGTGAGATAAAAACTATTCTTTGGCCCAGATGGCATGGCTTAGTGGTTGAGCGTCGACCTATGAACCGGGAGGTTGCAGGTTCGATTCCTGGTCAGGGCACATGCCTGGGTTGCAGGCTGGATCCCCAGTAGGGGGCGTGCAGGAGGCAGCCAATCCATGATTCTCTCTCATCATTGAGGTTTTCAGCTCCCTCTCCCTTCCTCTCTGAAATCAATAAAAACATATTTAAGAAAAAAAAAACTACTCTTTCTAACTCACTTTGCAGAAGATGTAGGAAGTCTTTTAAGAACAAGAAGATAAATACATGTTCAATGACATCTTTCAGGGTGTCATATTTAGAAACCGGTGATGCTCTTACATTTTAGAATCATGTCTTATTCTAATCGATATACCTTTTGTTGGTCCAATTAACTTCTTTTGGCCAGTCCCATAGAATTGGCACTTAAGGTCTTAATATTTTTCTGACTGTACACAAAAAATACACATTGTAAAGGGTGTTTAATCCTTCAGCTACCCTAAAGAGCACATTGGAAATGTGGTATATTTTTGTTTAATTGCCACACTCAACCTTTGGATGCTCAGAACTTCAAGAGGAAAGGTCACAAGTGCAAGCACATAGGAGTATTCTGCATTGCCCCCTGTTGCTGTCATTTGAGTTCTCTTTTAAAAAATATTTTTGTTGATTTTTTAGAGAGAGAGAAAGGGAGAGGGAAAGAGAGAAAAACATCAATGCAAGAGCGAACATAGGTCAGCTGCCTTCTGCATGCCCCCTACTGGGGATCGAGCCCACAACCTAGGCATGTGCCCTGACTGGGAATCAAACCAGCAACATTTATGTGCATGGGACGACACTTAACCAACTAAGCCACACCGGCCAGGGCTGTCATTTGCTTTTTTAACCGTAATTCTCTGTCCTCTCCCCACCCCAGCACTTGACCTTGGCCTAAGTTTCAGCACCCTTCTGCTGCTACTGTGACCTATTTGCAGGGAGCGTAACTTTTAGATCGTTCACATCTAAAAATCTACCATAAAAGCAGAGTATTAGGTAGCTGCAAAGTTACTGTATGCCACAAATCTGAACTAGTCAAAGACACAACAAACAACATCCATGAAGAGTTGCTATATTTGAGGAGGCAGGTACTAAGATTATCATCTTTTTGCAGACAAGAAAACTAAGACCAAGGGAGCTTAGATCATTTGCCGGAAGCCACACAACTAGGGAATAAGAAGTTCAAGCCCAGGCAGTCTGCTTCCAAATGCAATGGGTTAAATCCTCAGGCTACATCGCAGCATGCCCATGACCTTTTCCTTAATGAGGCCTTTGGAGACGCGTGTGCAAAGTATGACACAGAGACCAGAAGGCCTCTGCAAGCGGCATAAATCAATGGAGGGCAGCAGAGTGTCCAAAGCCCTTATGGAACAAATGCAGAAATGTGCACGAACAGGCAGGAAAGCAGGAGGAAGCAGTACAGAGAGCAATTACCTCTGAGGGTACAGGGAGGGACTGGAGCTTGTTTTCAAGAAAGAGGAACAGGCATTTTAGAAACCCTCCTGAATGTCATACCTTTATAAGTAGAAATATGTACCCTCAGTTTTCTTTAAAAAATTATATATATATATATTGATTTCAGAGAGGGAGAGAGAGAAACATCAATGACGAGAGAGAAAAACTGATCATATGC